ACACACACACACACACACACACACACACACACACACACACACACACACACACACACACACACACACACACTTACACATGCTGCAGACGAGAAGCATGTTTGTAGTCGCTTTCAGCAAACTGTTGAATATTTATGTACTATGATTGATGCAGTCTATCATGCATAGCTGTGGTTCCAGTGGAGTTTCTCCACAAGAATGAATCATCGTGGTGGTTTAAGACCAAACAGTTGTGTGTTTTTCTTTCTTTTTTTTCCTGTACTATCAGGACCATCTGACTCACAGCCAAGCCTCTCCAGATATTTGTAGTTATTACTTCTTAATTGATTTTACTTGAGCTGTAATTTTACTTGGTACTCCACCTCTCACACAGTGGCTGCTGGAGACTGGGACCAGCTCCCTGCAACCCGGAAATTAGAAGCGGGTAAAGAAAATGAAAGAATGGATGGATGTAATATTATTATTTTTTGTGCAGATATTGTCAGATGTGGTCTAGCTTTATAAAAAAATAGATTTAATGGGTTTTTATTTTTATAATGGGTTGAAATCTTGTGTACAGTTTGAAGAAAATGAAGGTTAATACTAGTTGTTGGTCCTGAGTATTAATTTTAGTGGAGCAGATATTGCGTTTTACCCATGTTTAATATATTTTCAACAGCTAGATAAATTTAAGAGCCTTACTAATATCGTGATCAAATCAAATATGTTTAYGCAGGGTTAGCTAATGGTAAAGGCGTTAAATAATGAGATTACAAAATAGAAATTGCAGGGGTTGACTTATCTTGCTCCATAACTGTAATAAAATAAAAACTGAGAATGAATCACCAAAAAAACATTTTAAATTCTTTATAAAAGAGTAAAAAAAACACAAAACAAAGTAAGCTAAGCAGTATCATTTAGTTAGTTTAGTCTTTTTGGAGTGAATTGTTTTTTTTACCTTTCCTGCCTTCTATTAACCATCTGCACTTGGTAAATACCTTGWGTTTTGGCTCAAAGTACGACAATGAAAACATGTTATTATAGCTTTTATTTCATATTTGAAAGTTCCTCACTGTTCACKTTAGAGTTCTCGTAAAGATTTCTCTGGGTTCTGCTTCTCCTCCGAGAAAACTTTATTCATATCTTCAGCAGTCGGTCGTCTTCCTGYGAACAAAGACTGTTTTTGTGCGTTAGGTTCAGTTCACAGTCGGTTCACCTGGATGTTAATTTCACACCTGCTAGTGAGCAGCAGAGCAAAAACATGAATATGCACCGATGTGGGGAACGGTTCTTTTGAAATTCACAAACCCTCAYGGCACAAAAAGTTGTGAAACCGTGGGTAACATTTCCCACTTGCTTTTAAAACTTCATCCGTCTTGTCACAGCAACATTATCTGTTATTGATTATTATTTGTGATGCAGCGAAGTGATATTTAGTTGTGTTTTTAAGTTTGATTTTACTCGAGCGTTTGGTGGTTGATGCTCTCGCAGTTCCTCCAAGCACACCGTCTGACTCCAATTTGTGCTCGTTCTCTGATAAACCGCAGCATTTGGTGATTCTGGCGTGAAATGCCGCCTGCACCGTGGGGTGCAGCAAACTCTGCGCTTGGTCGGACTCTGGCTCCCCACATCTAATGGGCAACAGCTTGAATAGTGCCCACTTAAGCAGGCAGTGTGGACTGGGCTTCCTCTTCCTCCTCATCGCTCCAGCCAGTTAGCCAGCCAGCCACCGCCTCTGCCACCTCCCACTTACCCAGCAGCCACTGTACCTGGCTGCCGCCCCAGAGCCATTCCAGCCTACCTTAGGCCTCTGGCCCACGCAGCTCTCGCCATACTAATCAAGCTGTCCTGCAGTTCATCAGGCCAGGCGCAGACAAACGGGCCCAGCTATCTGCTAACYGAACATTCAGCCTATTGCCTCGCAGGCTCAGACAAGTTCCTGCCACAGGCACCGTCCTACAGCCCATTCACCAATTAACTGGCTGGCAGATTRTTGCCCAAGGAGAACCATACAGTCCCAGTCTCATAAATTCAGCCTCAGCTCAAGCCGTCACCCACCCCACCCCAACACCTGCTCTAGGTTTTGGCTTCCCACTGACATCGATTCTGCATTTTGCCWTTTATGCTTTAATCTGAAAGTGGTCATCAGCTTAATGGCTCCATTTCACACGCAAACACATCGAAACTAGACTCGGTTTACAAAACGGCGTGGGAGGAAGAACCGCCGAACTTCAATTTACCAGCTTCAGATGGATTTTAGGTGAGGTCGTCGTCGCGTTGTCACAAGGATATGAGCGTCTGAACTCAACTAGCTTCCACTCCTAGCCAGAAACGAAGGCCTTTGATCCGTTCTCTCTGCTCTTTGTACTTTATTACATTAACTAATAAAGTAGAGAAAAGCAAGACCAACCAGATGCCAAACGTTGTGCTCTCAGTCGTTCTGCTTTTCTATCTTGAGTTTTCGTCACCCTCCTCTTCATCGCCACCACTCTATAGCTGACTGCTGGAACTTTCTGGCGATCTGTCCGATGCTAATTGGTGGGTAAACAGGTCTGGTGTGAGCTCCCCCTCCACCCCCCTATCCTGGTCACACACACACACAGGCGCGCACACACAGAGAGACAGACATACACGAATACACGGCCCCCTGGAACCTCTTGCAGGACCAAATGGCTGGCAATGCCTGCCCGCCATCTCCCGCTGAGCCCTGGTGTGCGCTTTGGTGGCTCAGGCTGCTGTTCAAGCCCAGCGGGGGTTCATACGCTCACACTCATACCGCGCACGGACACACACAGGCTCCTTGTGTCCCCTGCACACCCGCCACCCGCTTTCACACCCCAGACAGCAGGACAGCAGGAGAACACACACACACACACACACGTACACACACACACACACACACGTACACA